CCTGGTATATAGAGGCTTTTGTTTTCTATTACATTTTATGGGATTGCTGAGGTATAAGAATATTACTGATTTTTATATATTTAATTGAATCTAACTTTCATCTCCTCTGAGTCATATGTGGTCTTAAATATTCTACATAGATGAGTATATTATATAAAAAAGACAAATTAATGAGTTGCCTCTACTCTCTCAAAATACATGTTGTTCATTTTTAACTATTGTCTGCCGAACAGTGCTGGATAACAAAGATAAAAGAAATCTCTCTTATCTTGTTTCTGATTCTAATGAGAATGCTTCTGAGTTTCAACATTAAATACGATGTTCTTTGTAAGTTTTAGGTAGATGATATTTACTGTTTCAAGCAATGTTATTCTATCAACATTTAAGAAATTACGAGTTAAAAATGTGTTTTGATAACTCTGTTCTAAGGACTAGAGATACAACTGTTAACTCACTGGAGGAATGGTGTTCTCTTTGTTCCCTTCAAGCCTGGCTTTTTGTCTGTTCCCATGTTCCTAGTCTCTTCTTCGGGAGTTTCTTCTCCCTTCCAAGCTGCTACCCAGTTGTCACTTCCCCCGGAAACCATGCGCCAAGCCTCATTTGGGAATATGCTTGGCCTTAACGTATCATGCTAACCCTAACCCTAACCCTCTCCTTCTACTACTCAGACACTGTTGCAATTGTCTGTTAGCTTGCCTGTGTCCCCAGTAGTCTGAGAGCAAACAGTGAGTCCTGTTGCCAGTTGCATCTCTAGTGACAAGGACAGTGCCTAACTCAGATTAACTGCTTAATATTGTCTAATTGATTAGACAACTGCTTACTATGCTTTTTTATTTGTTTTTAGTCTGTAGTGGAGCATTTGATTACATTTATTTATTTATTTATTTATTTAGAGACAGAGTTTTACTCTTGTTGCCCAAGCTGGAGTGCAGTGGCGTAATCTTGGCTCACTGCTACCTCCGCCTTCCTGGTTCAAGTGATTCTCTTGTCTCAAACTCCAGAGTAGTTGGGATTACAGGTGCCTGCCACCATGCCACTAATTTTTGTATTTTTAGCAGAGATGGGGTTTTGCCATGTTGGCCAGGCTGATCTCGGACTCCTGACCTCATGTGATCTGCGTGTATTGGCCTCCCAAAGTGCTAGGATTACAGACATGAGCCACTGCACCTGGGCATATTAGATTATTTATCTTTCAGGCTAAAATTATAATCACCTTGAGCTTTGATATAAGAAATTGGGCTTTTTTATGACCAAAATCAGATGCATTGTGTATAAAATATAAATATTTGTGCAAAACATTGTTTAACAAACCATTCTGTTACCTCTCTGTGAAAACTTACCAGAGAAATTCCTCTAATTTCTCATGTCAAAGAGCTATTTCCTAAACAAGTGATTTGTTCATCTTGTGTATATTCTGATGCACACAGCTAAAGGTATTTTCTATTTTACATTGTTTGGGAAGCTTAGAACCAAAGCTTAGCTTACTTCTATCAAGGGCATTTGCCATTCGAGTATCATGTTGTATATTAATTTAATTCCTGTTTGTCTTCTTCATTTAGATTCTTATTTTTCCCTCTTCCCCCAAAATTATATTGTCAAATCAAGCAAGGTAAAATATTTTCAGGGTAGTATGTTAGTGAAATTATCTCACCACTTCAATATATTTTAAATGCTGCTGGAAGGTTTGTCTTTCAACAATATATATAATGATGTCGTACTTCTGCTTAAAATACCTTAGTGGCCTCCCATTGTTTCTAGGGTGAAACACAAACTCCTTAGGAAGCACACGTGACTCTTCATGACACTTTTGAGTGCAGAATTGAAAAGTTCATTTAAGTACATCAAGTCTGCACTTTAAACCACTTGGAAAATGAAACAAATATTTTATGATCATATACTGGCTTACCTTTTCATCAAAATTCTGGACAAGCTTTTCATAACAAGCTTGCAAAATGTTAATTTTGTTGCTGTTTCATTTTTGTTTTTCCCACAGTAGTGTATATAGAACTCTATTTAGCAAAAAATGGTAATCTTAGAAAGTTTATGTAATGTTGTAGAAAATGGAGGGAGAACAAGAGAGTGTCTAACAATATATTCTATCAACTGTTCAACCTTCGTTCTAAATAGACTATGTAACAAATGGGTATACAAGCCCCTAACTGAATAACAAAATTAACTCAGTGTCCAGGAAAACTGTACCTGCAATTCCCGTGTTTGAAGTGGCTTTAAGTTCAATGAAAGTGGTAAATTGTTTCAGGAAAATATTTGAAGATTATTTTCAGGATTCACATATAATTTCTCCCCACCTATCATCTCCTCTTGATTTTCTTTCTAGATCTAAAAGACAGAAATTCAGTAAATTCTGGTAAGTACAGAAAATCATGGTTTAAGACCAATAAGCTGCCCTGAAAGGACTTTCTCACCAGTGGCTTAAAAAGAAATTCGGAGTTTTGGAATGAAATGCTCCTTCTTTCTAAAATGCCAAAATAGCAAGTCATTTAATTCTGACTTACTAACAATATCAGAAAACAGAAGCTATGTCAATGAGCATTCTGCAGAGCATCTGTGGGCTAGCAGGGCGACACTTCCTTATAGATCATAAAGATTCAAATTCGAGAAAACTCAGAAGCAGCTACTGAAACTCAAGTCCTGAAACGAGGACGCAGTATTTCCAGTTCAGACCAGTGTTGACAATTACATAGGTCAGCATTCGAAGTGATATCATACACGCACATGTGTCTCATTCCTGGAAAGTTTAAGGTATATTATAGTGTCATTTACATTCCTTTATGCAGTGATCCCGTGAGCATTTCCTCAGCCTTTTTAGTATGCCATTACATCTCCTTATTATATGCATACCTAGTCCCTGCCAAGTTGAATGCCATAAATTAGTAAGGGATAGTTATGTATTATGCACAGGTATGTTTGTTTCCTTATCTATTATACCATGATTTTCTCTATAGAAAATAGAATGGTTTCTAATAAGAAATCTAAAATGCAGTTGTGTACATTCCAAATAGATTGTCAACTCTTTCAAGATAGGAACCTAGAAATCTGTTTTGAATCTCTTACTACCTATGTAAAACCTAAATTAAACTACGTTGCCAGAAAGGACCACAGTAAGAGTGTTAATAAGTCCTTATTACATTTAATTGTGTGGTCATTAATGCCATGACATTTTGCCTTTCACAATTCACGTTTCCACCAGTGCTCTCTGGCAACTGCCCCTACCACTGCAATAAACATCACTTTACAATTAGCTTTGTGCTAGTTAATTCCTGTTGATATTTTCCATTCGATTCCAGGCCAGATGATAAATATCTGAAATCTCTGTGGCATTTCATGCCCTGGTCTAGTCCAAATCATTTCTGCTTGAATTCTTTTACCTCACTTTGTTCCACATTCCGTCTTACCTCTCAAGTCACTTGATCTCTCACTCGAGCTTCCTCGTTGCTGTTCCTGGGATTCTGCTCTTTGTATTTCTTGTGCTCTCTTGAAGACCTCATTATTCTGTGGTTTCCATTGTACACTCATGACTCCCATCATCATCGCTTCTCTACTGAGAACTTCTCCGAGAGCGGGACCCAGATGGTCCCATCCCCTCCGCTTTGTCCAACAGGGTCATCAGATGGACTTGATACAAACTGATGCCATCACTCACTCCTCCCAGCTAGCAACCCCCCTCCCGTCTCCCACAGAGTGTGTACTGCTCTCCACTCCATTGCCCAAGGGAGAAGTCACCCCCTTCTCTGAGCACTGAATGTGTTCTGCTGATACCGTCCCATCAGCCCTGTGCCGCCTTTTTCTCATGTTTGTATTGCAATTCCTCGGACTTTCATCTTTGCTTAAACTTTCTCAACGTCAAATCTCTTATTAACTGACTCAGAAGGAAACTTCGCTTATTTCCAGTATGTGCTTCCACATTCTCACAGCCACTTTTGCCAGGTAATGGACTGTCTGTAAAAAGCTCCAGTTTTAGTATTATTATTGTCATTATGCTCTAAGTTCTGGGGTACATGTGCAGAACGCGCCGGTGTGTTACATAGATATACATGCGCCATGGTGGTTTGCTGCACCCATCAACCTGTCATCTACATTAGGTATTTCTCTGCTATCTCTCTCCTAGCCTCCCACCCCCTGACAGGCCCTGGTGTGTGATGTTCCCCTCCCCGTGTCATGTGTTCTCATAGTTAAGCGCTCTAGTTTTTATGTGTGTCTCTAACTCAGGGTTTTCTGTTTATATTTTCTGTGGCATGTCATGTTCTCGACTTACAATTTGTATATTTTCTGTGTCTTTTAGTGGAGCAGGGTGCACTTTTGGTTTAGAAATAGAAACTAATAAAATGCCATGAAACTCCAGGTACCACATATACCCAGCACCAATGGCACAGGGACATTACATTTCTCCGTGTGACCCACTCGCACATGAGCTACCTTGTATTTCAGAATTGAATTCAATCTAAAAGCAAAGTTTATCTGTGGTATGTGTTCCTGTCCATGCAGGAAGATGGAAATGGCCAACTGGGGTATAAGGCATCCTCATGGTCTTGCTTCTACCCTAGGCAAATATCAGTCTCTGTTTTGATCTCTTTGTGATCTACCCAGATGAAATTACCTGCAATTCCTTACCTCCGTGATCACAAAGAAATCATTGTGAAAATCTCTTTAAAATCAAGGATTCTGTGTCTATGTATGTTTTAAAAATCGAATTAAACTTTTTTTGTAAGCTTCAGTTGATTCAATGATGAGGACACAGTTCCTAGGCAGCCCTGAGAAAATATTTTCTGAGTGTTCACATATGAAGGGGTTAACTATGATGGCTAGGTCATACAACATGAGTGAACATTTTTTTTCAAATTCTATTAAAATTGAAAACTACATGAGTTATTGTAATCAATAGGACATCATGGCCACAACATATGATTTATTAGACAGTATTATACTGCCCAAAAGACAAAACAGTAAAATCACACTGAAGAAAATGGACTCAGAATGAGGAATACATTTATCGAAAAGAAATAATTTTAATATATGCAAGAAGTTTGAAAATGATATTTGTCAGTTATAATTGGAAAGATTAAAATGTATTAATTTGATACAGCTTTTAAAAAATGAATTAGCATTTCCCACCTTGATATTAATTTTCTCTGAGCATGACAATTTAAATAGTATATGACAGTAAACTTATTCCACATTATTTAAAATATGTCTCCAGGAAACTTGTTCCCTGTATTGCTTTAAAACACATTTCTATGATGGGAAAGCCGCTGAAATGTATATCACTACACAGAATTCCCTAACATCTTAGTAGGATATTTATTTTTGAAGTGTATTTTTTTTCCAGAATGGCTGTGAGATATGCAGTATATTACTTAATCTCCCTAGCACCAAGTAAAATTCTCTGAAATAATAGGTTAAATATCTAGTGGAATCATGTGTGAGACACGTTTGCTAACACCTAGCTGACATTAGCTAAACAAAAATGTTCCTTCTCTGAAGTTTAATGTCAGGATTGTTTTGTTTTAATCAAAATTAATATTCTCCTATAATCCCAGCACTTTGGGAAGCTGAGACAGGAAGTTATCTTGAAATTAGTAGTTTGAGACCTGCCTGGGCAACACAGTGAGGCCCCCATCTCGACAAAAAATGAAATAAAGAATTAGCAAGCATGGTGGTATGCACCTGTAGTCCCAGCTACTCAGGAGGCTGAGGTGGAAGGATGGCTTGAGCCCAGGATGTTGAGGCTGTAGTGAGTCATTATCATGTCACTGCACTCTGGCCTGGGCAACAAAGAGAGACTTTGTCTCTTAAAAAATTAATATTTTTCTAACTGAAGTCAGTAAACATTGATCAACATGAAAGTATTATTTCTTCATTTAAAATAGACATTCAGAGTATAAACCAATATGTGCCACTCTGTATTTTCATATTCCCTAACATGGTCTAAGTATGCTGTGTTCACAGTTATACCAAAGTAACTAATGTTGGCAATTTAGTCATAAATATTTGTAAGAACGTATTTTTAAGTCATTATTTTCGGTTCTCTTTGCCTTTTTTTTTTTTTTTTTTGTCTAGAACTAGTCTTAAAAAGGAAAGGATGGCAAGAATGCCCCTGGGAATTATAGAATGCTTCAGGAAAATAAAAATCTCTCTTCAATTAAATCTTCTAAAAGAATCTATGTGGTCGGGCGCAGTGGCTCACGCCTGTAATCCCAGCACTTTGGGAGGCCGAGGCGGGTGGATCACGAGGTCAAGAGATCGAGACCATCCTGGTCAACATGGTGAAACCTCGTCTCTACTAAAAATACAAAAAATTAGCTGGGCATGGTGGCGCGTGCCTGTAATCCCAGCTACTCAGGAGGCTGAGGCAGGAGAATTGCCTGAACCCAGGAGGCAGAGGTTGCTGTGAGCTGAGATCGCACCATTGCACTCCAGCCTGGGTAACTAGCAAAACTACATCTCAATTAAAAAAAAAAAAAAAAAAAAAAAAAAGAATCTATGTATAGCACTTTCCAAGCCAAGACATGGGTTATTTTATTACCTCTTATGCTGTGACAAAGTCCTGTATAATTAGCACATTGGTGTAATTTACCAGTTTCATTAAAGCTGATTGCCTATTTGGGAAGTTAACATGGCTTCTCTAGTACTTGACCTGTCCTTTTCTTTTCTGTGCTACAGCTGTTAGTAGGAAGTGAGCAAAGTCATTCACTGCTGACGGTAGTAGAGAAATAGTCTTCATAAAGGTTATAATACAAGACGAAGATGGAGTTTCACTCTGTGCTTCCCCAGACCTTTCCATCCTTAATTGGTTTGGTTTCCTGATGAGACCTCAAATGACAGAACAAATATTTGACAGTCAGCTAAATATTTACCAATTTAAAAAGCAAACTCATATTTATTTAACTTACATTGTTATTCATTTATCTTTTGAAAGTCTGATTTTTTTTTAATAAAATGCATTAAAGCAGTGGGTCCTTGATTTTAGAGATTCCACAAGTTGTGCAGAAATGGTGAAATCCATTTAAATGGCTTGAGGTAGGGATAAGAGGAAAATAATAGTTTATTTTTTTTTTAAGTAGATTAAACAGTAACATTATCAAGAGCAACCCTCTTTCGTGTCTTTGGCCACCAGGGAAGAACTGTGTAAGATTATATCTTTTGGTCCTTAGCAACCTACCCCCAGCTATGTGACGTCAGCATGGTACTCTTAAGTTAGGGTGGTCGGATGATCAGAGAAAAACTCAGACTTGAATAGGTACGCCAACGCCATAAACTCCTATAAATGCAATGCTTCAGATCAAGAGGCAGCTTTATAGATGTTCTCTACCACATGCGGGCTTCTGATAGCCTCATTACCGAAGTCGTTGCTAACACCCTCATCTGAAGAGAACAGTTACAGTTCTGAAAAGAACAACAACAACAAAAACCTTGTTGAAAATTCTGCATAAGCAATTTGCATTCTGACAGATGAAGGAGAGGTTTTATTACCCTTCCTAATTCCTCTGCTACATACTTGCAATATGCTGCACCTTAAGTGGCAGATTTTTGTTGCTAAAATGAAAGCGATTTTCTATAGGAGACACCTTAGGTAAAATTGGCAATGGAGATCAAGTTTATTTCCATGATTTTTAGTTATCTGCATGGTACATAAATATGAAAATAAAATTCTTGCGTTTAGTTGTGAAGACTTTTTCAATATTTCATCCTCCCTAGAAGTTTCGGGGGTTGATGGGACCTTCATCTTAGGCCCTCTGTCCCTTGAATTATTCTTAGCATTATGCACCTCCCTATGCCCCTCCCACCATCCCCCAAAAAAGAAGAGTCAGAGGAGAAATGGAAACCCTGGAAATCCTGGTATTTCCAACTCTATATTCCTAGAAATCTCAATGTTTAGGAATGAAAGGAAGAGACAGGAGAGAATATGTTTTGGAGCAGGAGGCAGGAACAGTAAGAAATGCACAAGATGTCACTAAACAGTCATCATCATAAAAATAGTATTAACTATTAGTATTATAGATGTTTAGAAAAAGAAAAAAAATGAAAGAAAAAAAAACCACGCCAAACAGTAATCAAACCCCAACATCATGTTTTATGGTGTGTCAATTAAAATGGACGGGAATTACATGCAAATACCTCAAATAAAATACCTCAAATAAGAAATGTAGAATACCTTTCCACTGATGATTTTTAGTTGTCAGGACAAGTGAGACCCCAACAGCAGACGGAATGGTCCCAGCATGCTTGTTGCCTTTTTTTGTTTGCACGGTGGCTGTCAATTCCAGCCTTGCAGGTAGTGGAACCCAGCCGGAAGAAGGGGCGGGACCCAGCATTGCAGCCTGAACTGAGAGCAAATTTAAATTACTGAGCCTTTTTTTTTTTTTTTCCTTTTTTATTTTTCTACTCTGCGACAAACTGAAAAGATTCCAGCACGCTAATTTAACCACCCTGCTTCTTCTTCTTTGCCTTTTTTTCTTTTTCATTTTTTTTTTTTTTTTTTTTTTTGTCTCCCTGCTTCTAGGATAATTAAAAGAGAAACCTGTAAAGGCAACATTCCTGTGAGCGAGTTGGTGCTGCAACGTGCTGGTAAGAAAATGAGTTTAATTTTTTTCATCTTTTTTTTTTTTTTTTTGGTTTTTTTTTTTTTTTAAGAGCTGAAGGCTTTGTCTGTCTAATGCAGTCATAAGCGTGGCTTCCCTGCCGTGAGGGGTTAGCATGTAATGAAAAGGTGTAATAGCCTGATGTACGACCTCCGCGTCATACTTAGAGTGCTTAATAACAGCATTCCTGTCTATCCCGATGTTTCTTCTCTCTGCAAATTGACTGTTTGCCCAGTTGCATCTGAGCTAAGATTGTCACACTATGACAATGAGTTGTTGATTGTTCGGAGTTTCGGTGTCCTGTCAAAGAGAATTCTTGACTTTCTCCAAGTTACTCCCTTACACGGATGTTACGGGTTTTAATAGGTACCTTGCAGACCATAATGGGTTTGCTGTTTACTCATCAAACAGGAAGTGCAATGATGAAGCTTTTTTTTAAGGAACGCTAATTATCCTAGACTTCCTTAGTTCAGATAATGAAACAGCCTGAAGTGAGGTAAAGTTATTTTAATCCCTTTCATCTGTAACTAGTCAGGAGTTCATTAGACAGCCAGTTAAGAAGAACCTACATCATTTGCAGACCTTGTACTTGAGATGCCAACTTTATTCTTCAATAGGACAAATTTTAATTCAATCCAATTAAATTCAACAAGTATTTCTGTGTATACTCTGCCTGGAATTGCTGCAGAGATTGTGCTTGCTTGTGACTCTGTGGTGGGGGAACAACTGAAATTAGATAGTGTACATTTTTAGCAACCAGCTTTTCCTGCTACCTTTGGAACTGGCCAGATCACTTAAGACATTTCAGAATGTGTGACCGTTGGCTTTAAGATAAAGTTCTCGAGGTTACATATCCTACAATCAATGGACTTCTTTCTGTTCCTTCTATGCGTGGAACTTGCACTTGTGAGAAATGCAACTCTGGCCAGTATATTTTACATCACATTTAAATATTATAAAAAATATAGATAGCTCTTTTTTTGTATACCAAACATGTCATTTGAAAATACATCTTTTGTGTCAAACTTTGAGCTTATCCATGTTTTAGCCTCAGGAGCAGGAAGACACATGGAGAGGTTTAGGCTTGTCAGTTAGTCTGCTTGGATCTGGGTCAAAGAAACAGGAACTACAATTTCTCTTTTTTGTTTGTTTTGTTTCCCTTAAAAGCACATGTGAAACAGCAAAGAATTTATTTCGCCGTCCCTCCATTGTTCTTTGTAAATTGTTGTAATTTTTATTTTTATTTTTTTGTCCTTTAATTTTGAATAGATCACTATAAATGTAATTGAGAGGTTGTCAAAAACAGAATGTAGTTACCAAATGTCCATTTTTCTAAAAAACCAAAAAAAAAAAAAAATCCTCCTTTGGATGTTTGAAGGTTGTATGCCATTTGCATCTTATAGAGAATATGGCATTCCATACGCTGGTAACATTTGGTCTCTGGTCTCCGCAGCTATTCTATCTAATTGTGTCACTCTACATTTAACAGCTCTGAACCATGCTGCCCCTGGGTCCTCACTGGTGCCCCCAGAGCGCTTGAAATGTCTAAAAAGACCTTAGAACATTACAAAGTGTCAATTGTTAGAATAATTTCTACCTCTTTACAACAAGAGAAAATGCTGTGGATTGAATAGTTCATTTTTAAAGCCCGTTCTTATCCACCAGTAACTGTCTATTAGCAACATTTCAGTTATAATTGGAATAAATTGTTGCCCAGTAACAAGCAACTAACTCCTTAGCGACTTTCCGTGGAATCAGTGAAGAGAAATAGCTACAAAGAGCTAAATGCGAGTCAAACCACAGCACTTGTATTTTTTAGTATAGAAAAAAAAACGACTCATTTCTTTATAATTTTACCATTATACTTAAGTTCTCAAATTTTCAAATTGAGGTGCCTCTTCTTTATAATTTTCTAATTGACCAAAATCCCATATGTGAAAAATAAAGGCTAATAGATCTTTGAAAATGTTTCTTTCTGGTTTAAAATAAGAATAAGAAAGGATAAGCACAATCTCTCAGACTGTGAGTGTTAACAAGATCCTGAGCCAGCAGCACCATTACATGTGAGGAACTACCATCATCTTTCATAGAAGGCAATGTAAAATTATGGGTTTCATTGTAGGACTCTGTCATTTGAACTAGTAATCAGTCCATAATACTATAGACTGCTGCAGTTAAAATGATGCTTCCCTCCATTAATAAAATATTGGATAACACTGAAATTATGTTAGTTAGATTTTACCTATCTATTTTTTCAATAAAGAATCAGGAATAGCCCCAAATCCTTTTAACTAAGCATACATAATATCAGAATGTCTTTTTATCTTCCTTTACTGAAGTTCTATGACATCACAATCTCAAGAGAAAAATTCCCTAACAATAATTCTGCATTTGCCATAAGCTCTTGTGGCATTTGGGAAGAGTTTTCACCTATTACTTGCACAGGTGTTGAAATAGAAAATACCTTATGAAGAGAATGCACATTGTTATTTTACACACAGACATATGGAAAAAATATATATGATGCCAGAATAAACATTAAAGGCAACAGGAAGGTACACGGATTGCTCCCTGAAAATATGACGTTGACATTTGCTCAATTTGTTATAAATGTTTACTGAGTATCAACTCTGTGACAGGAAGTATGTCAGAATCTGTAGGGAACGAGAAAAACAGAAAAAGTCCTGTCTTGGTCATCAAGGGAATTACAATGTAGTAGAAACGCATTAGGTGGACTAGAAAATGTAATTTGATTAATTAGTCTATGGATGACCTTAGCATTGTGTCAGGCTATTGGGATCAAGAAAAGCTGTAACTTCATTTCTGAGTACCTGGAGCTGGCATAATGTGTGCTTCTCTCATTTGCTTCAGTTCTTTACCTATATCCACACGTTTTCTATTTCCTGTGTTTTTTAGAAAAAATTCTTATTGATACAAATAGTCATAACACCTATAATTTCTGTGTGTTTTTTCCTTAAAGAGAATGGGCAGGGAGCACTGAATGGGGTATCAGGAGGTATCAAGTGTCATTTCTCATCACCCCACTGGCTTTGTCACTCGTAGTCTTCATAGGCCGCTGTCCTCCTCATCTTTACAAAGAGGAAATGACCCCATCCAACACTATAATTGTTTTTTATTCCATCCTAGTGGAAGACAGGTAGGAAAAGAGGTGGTTGTCCAGACTTGTCCACCAGTGGTTTAAACAAAATACAAGACAATTACAAACTAACAAGCTCTAAGTCTTCACTTCTGCGTTTGTGTTGAATGGACGCGTGGTTATACCTGCCCCTTGATTGTATACCTTCTCTTCTCTTCATTATCATGTTAACGCCCCCGAGACTGCAGAGGAAAACTGCAACAGAATAGTAAGTGTATGTCAAGAGTGCTGTTCTAGCATCTGTTAGAATGTTTCTTACCTGTGATCCAAGAGAAACAAAGAGAAAGTCTGTCTCCGTAAACAGCACTGCATAGTCTGATGTTTCCGTGTACCTTTGAAAGCAGCGCTTGAGCAATCTGATGAGCTTTCATTGATTTACGTACCTGTGAAGCCACAACAACCAAGCCACAGAGAATTTACATTCATACACAAGTTTCTTGTGTCCCTGTGACTTTACCTCCACTCATGGCCTTCAGACAGGCCTTCAGATTTTCATTCTGTCACGATAGATTAATTTAAATTTTATAAAATGTCATATAAATGGATTATGCAGCATGTATTCTTTTGTGTCTGGCTTTTTCATTTCATATACTGCCTTTCAGATTCCTACATGTCATTGCATATATCAGTAAATTTTTTATTGCTGAGTAGTATTTCGTTATATAAATAAGCAATAGTTCGTTGATCTATTCACCTGTGGATGAACATTTGCGTACTTTCCACTTGGGAACCATTATAAGTAAAGCTGCATGAACATTAATGTGCGAGCTTTAATGTAGGCATCGGTGTTTCTCTCGGTTAAATAGCTAGAAGTGAAAATGCTGGATCATAGAGTAGAGGTATGTTGAAATGTGTAAGAAAAAACCCAACCGTTTTCCAAAGTGGCTATAACATTTTATGCTTTGTCCAGCAATGTTGGAGAATTCCAGTTGCTGGATATCTTGACCAACATTTTGTGTATTGCCAGTCTCTTCAATGTTAGCTATTTTTGTGGGCGTGTAGGATTAACTCTCTGAGGTTTTAATTAAACCTTCCCTGAAATTGAATGATGTGGGGCATCCTTTAATGTACACATTGATTATGGTGAAGAATCTGTTCTAATAGTTTGTCCAATTTTTATTGGACTCCATGTGTCATCTTAATATTGAGTTGTAGGAGTTATTTTTTCTTCTGGATAGATGTCTCTTTGCAGATAGGTGTATGGGAAACATTTCCTCCCAGTATGCGACTCTGTTATTTTTAATGGTGTCTTTTTGAAGCACATTTTTTCATTTGAATTAATCCAAATTACCAATATATCACATACCAGCCTAAAAATTGATTTTACAGTTTATACTTTTTTGTGTGTGGACAAAGTAAAAATGCTTAGATTTTTCTCCTAAGTGCTTCTCTATAAATTTTATAATTTCCATTTTTACATACCGTTCTATGATGCATTTTGAGGTAATTTTTATGTTTAGTATGAAATAAAAACCAAGATTCTTTTTTTTTTTTTTTAATCATATGGAGAGCAGTTGCTCTAGCACCATTACTAAAAAGACTATTCTTTACCCCATTTAATTACCTTAGTTTGTCAAAAATCACTTGTCAGTAGGTTTGTTGGTCATTTTCTGGGATCTGTTCTGTACCATTGATTTATACATTTATACATTTATTCTTTTACC